AGGATTAATAAGTCCACAGGCGTCCTTTTAAAGAGACAGTCCAGAAATGCAGAAATGATTTACTCTCTCTTTACTCTCATCAAGTGTCTCCAAACCTGTATGAGTTTCTTTATTCTGTTTATCACAAAGGAAGATACTTTGAAGAATGTTGAATGTAACTGATAGCCATTGACTTCTCTTGAAGGAGGAGAAAATACTTTGAAAGTCAAAAAAAGCCTTATTTTGTGTTCAACAGAAGAGAAAAACAGGTCCAAAAGAACTGGAGGGAGAATCACTGATGAGAGTTTTCATTTTTTGAGCAATAATGCTGTTTTTAGAGGAGGTTGAGACTGTATTTCTCAATCTAATACAGCTAAATCATGTTTCTTTTTGAATCTCAGTTTCAGTTTATCACAGGAAATAAATCTGTTCACATATTAAAAATGAAGAGTTCAGTTTGTTCATTCTGAATATATTTCACACATCTGTCCATTTCCTTAAGCACCTCCTTCTCATTTTATATATTAAAAGGTTTATTTCATATTATAAATCTTGTATAAGAGCGTCACGGTGGCACAGTGGGTAGCACAATCGCCTCACAGCAAGAACGTTGCTGGATCAAGCCTCGGCTGGGTCAGTTGGCAGTTCTGTGTGGAGTTTGCATGTTCTCCCCGTGTTAGCGTGGGTTTCCTCCGGGTGCTTCGGTTTCCCCCACAGTCCAAACACATGCGCTATAGGGGTATCAGGTAGGCTTAATTGTCTGTAGTGTATGTGTGTGAATGAGTGTGTATGGGTGTTCCCCAGTGATGGGTTGCAGCTGGAAGGGCATCCGCTGCGTAAAACACATGCTCGATAAGTTAGCGGTTCATTCTGCTGTGATTAACCCCAGATTAATAAAGGGACTAAGCTGAAAAGAGAAAAAGCAGAATCTCTTTACATTCTTATGATTCTTGAAACATGAATGTAGTTTAATTTAATTAATGTTTCAATGTTAATACTACTAATAATATTTCATTCTTCTATGGTTAGGGTTTCTTTTATTGCAGGTTCAATTTATTAATATTTATTAATAAATACAACTCCGCCATGCTGGTCAATGTAACATTTAAATGAGACAACATTATTACTCTGATCTCTACTTCTCCATAAAATGTACTGTTTTTTATTTTGAATATGGGCGATACGGTGTCTCAGTGGTTAGCACTGTCACCTAACAGCAAGAAAGTTGCTGGTCGAGTCCCGGATGGGTCAGTTGGCATTTCTGTGTGGAGTTTGCATGTTCTTCCCGTGCTGGCAAGGGTTTCCTCTGGGTGCTCCAGTTTCCCCCACAGTCCAAACACATGCGCTATAGGGGAATTGATTAACTAAGCTGACCATAGAGTGGTGTGTGAATGTAAGGGCGTACTCACACTATGTTATCCGAACCGTGCCCAGGCCCGTTTCCCAGATCGTTTGAGAAGTGTGAGTGCGCTGAAGGCTCAGGCACGGTTCACTTGGCCGACCCTGGCTCGGTTGGAAGAGGTGGGCCTGAGCGCGTTTCACTTGGGCTTTGGCCAATATGCTTGTGTGTGAGTGCAAAATGCGGCTGAGCCCGAAACTGAAAGCGAGACGTGACTTTTAAGGGACTGTTACATATGGATTTATTAATCATTCTTACTGTTCAGTCAACGCAAACTGCCGTACAGCTGCGCCTTCAGCAAACCTCCTAATTCCTGCAGCACGAGGGCTTTGTGATGGTTTATGAGCGCCAAAAGTGGCGTATCTGATCGGCGAAATATCTGACTGCGTGTCATTGCATCCCTGAGAACTGTTTGGCGAAATATTTGACTGCATGTCAATGCATATCAAACGACTGAAACGATAAGAAAATTAAGAAAATGTTAAATGCAATAGAGCCCCGTTACATTATTCCTTCATGATTTCAATCAGATAATTCCTGCTTTCAGATCCACTAAAATGGCAGGTGACCGTCAAATCCAGCAGATCTGTGCTGTCTGAGAAAAAGGTGGACACTCATCTTTCTGCAAATAAAGAAATACTGAAAAATAGGTTAAAACTGAGCCCCATATAAAAATAAATTGTTCTTTTCTTTTTATTTGTTTAACTGATACAATATTATATGTATTTATTTTCATAAGCAGCTGTTTGGTTTTGAGTATAAAGAAGGATTTGTTTTATTTGCTGCGAAGCAGAAACCCCGCAAGTGTAGCTCTATCACTGTTTGAAGTAAAAGAAAACAAAAACAAGATCGTACTTTTATGATGTTAGTTTTAATACATTCAAAAATTAAATCAGAGAACTCCTCTGGCTTTTTTCTTTTTTTTTGCTGTATCAAAAACGTACCGAACCGTCACACCACTGTATCGTATCAAACCGAACCGTGATTTTTCTGAACCGTTACACCCCTAATATATTGTCACCGACTCGGTCCCAGTCATTCCCCTCGCTGGCCAGCAGAGGCAACCATCTCCGGACTTTTAACATTACGTCATCCCTTCACTCTGATTCCAGCACACCTGATCTCCATTCCGTTAATGACCCACGTACCCTTTATAAGCAGCTCACACACACACCTTTGCGAAGTCTTGTTTAGCCCCGGCCAGCATTACTGAGCGTTCTATCCTACCTGATCTCCCGTTTACTACTTCAGCCCGTTTCCTGACTCTGCTCTGCCTTCTGCCTGCCCACGACCTAAAGCCTGTTACACGGACTCTGATACTCGCTGCCTGCCCTTGACCCAAGCCTGTTACACGGACTCTGAATCACGCTGCCTGCCTCTGACCCATGCCTGGTAATCACTCTGTGTCTGTCCATCGCCAGCCCATATTCATTGCTGTGTATGTTGTATGTGCGCACAGTCGTGCGTGTTGTATGTTGAGTAAAGTGTGACTTAA